AGAAACTCAGGAGTCCCACAGAAAGTTGAGGTCCGATCGCCGTGTCCCATCCCTGCCGATACATCACACACTTCAGTCCTCTCAGATGGAAGTATGGAGAGTTTAAATCGTAAAACTGATTCTGTTTGGGTAGTAGTATAAAAGGGAAGAATGTGGCTACTGCTACTTGTTGCAGAAATTACAGACAGGTGTGCTGAATGGATTCACCTTCTTTACAAAGTCCGAAGTCTGTGATTTTCACAAATCCATCTGCATCCATTAACAGGTTGTCCAGCTTCAGATCTCTGTGTAAAACACAGAGTACACAAACTGAAGGGTGCCAAATGTTTTCTTGTAACATGAGATCACTTTGGCACTCATCACCTACCGATAGATGATTTTATTCAGATGCAGGAACTCTAAACCAAGCAGGACACATGCTGAGTAAAACCTGTACATGATAGCAACAACAGATCAAATATGTTGGATAACAACACCTTAAAAAATACATTGATTTGATTTGTTTTCTTTGTCAGGGAAAGAAAACAAATCGATATTTGGAAATCTCTCAGGCAGTATGTTCACTCTTTTTATGCACACCTGGTCTGAGCCTCGGTAAACACATCATTGTGGATGTGGATCATGAGGTCACCGCCGGGTAAATACTCCATGACGAAGCAGACGTGGTCACTGGTCTGGAAGCAGCCGTGGAGGTTGACGAGGAACGGGTGCCTGGACGCGATGATCATCTCAAAGATCCTCTTCTCGCTCATAAGACTGCAGAAGAAAAATACATCACTCAGCTATTATCCTCAAAGCTGCAAAGAGTTTTTCTTGTCAAGCTCAGTAATAACGTCCATGGCTGCAGTTCCACTAATGACCACTTGGGGCTGGCTCCAAAAGGAAGTCAATTCCCCTTAACTCCAGTGTTTAAATGTCCAACTTTACAGCATTAAAAAGCACGATTATAAACTAGATACAAAAACAGTTTGGGCCTTTATTTATAGGCCATAAGAGACACTGAGTGAAGGCAAAACTCAAACGCATCCCATTGATCTATAATCTGAGCTTTCTTATTGATAATCACGTAACGTGCACCTGCATGCAGATTTAAAGCATTCTTGTCTTTCCTTCCACTCACCTGTCCACTTCATCACGAGTCACAATGTCTCTTTTCTTCAAAGCTTTGACGGCATACAATTTTCCGGTCTTCTTAAACTCTGCCAGCAGGACCTGGAAAACATTCGCAGCAAATCTAACCCTGATCAGCTGAGGACAAACAAGAGAAGACGTTTGGCTCAGTCACAGTGTTTTACAGAAAAGCTTCAAACTGTTACCTTCCCAAAGTGTCCTCTGCCAAGAACTGAGATATATTTAAAATCTTCCACCTGCATCCTTTTGGGAAAAAAAGAACAAAAATAGAAAATAAGGATGGTGCTTAATTCCTAATTTTTAGAAGAGGACGTGGAGTGTGAAGTGTGTGAAGACATGTATGTGTGTGTGTGTGTGTGTGTGTACTTTAGAGCAGATACAGGCTGATCTTCGCTTTCTTCTACGGAGGACTGCAAATAAAAATTCAATGACAAATCAGAGCTCAATAAGAACATGTTTAGATCTTCTAAAAGCTGCTGTTTAAACCTGTGATATCAGCAGAAAAATTAATGTTTTTGGCCGTTATCACATCACAAAGCTGCCAGTGTGGCTTTAGATCATCACTCTTAGTGCTTATAATCTGTTACTGGATACATTTCACTCTTCTAAAGCTAATTTGTCTCTCGCTACATATATAAATGTGTAAACTCTGAATGCACTGGCGTGTCAACTCTTGCTAATGGCTTACCAGTTTTTCTTGCAGCGTGGGCACAGATGGTGTTCGGTGCACTGCACTGATGATGCCAGCTGTGTTTTCTTCCTGGTCGAGGATGGTGGGAGAGAGCTGATCCTCAGTGATGCTCAGTCTGATTACTGGAGCTTCGCTGCAGGCCCACAGAGACAAGTGTTGAAAAATGTAGTGAGATAGTAGAGAGTCAAAAAATACTGAGAGAGGCCAGGACCTGGAGTCAAACTAACATTATCATTGGAAACGTTTTATCTCCTCACAGTCAGAGATGGGCAGTAACACGTTACTTTTTTCAAGTAACGAGTAAAGTAAGGGATTACTATTGAAAAAAACGGTAATTAGATTACCGTTACTTTCCCGTAGGAACGCTGCGTTACTGCGTTACTAAAACCGTGATTTTTTTGCGAGAATGTCTCATGACAGTGACGTAAGCGAGTGCGACTTTCGTGACAACAGCTGTGTGCAGATCAACAATGGATCATATATCGAGTGCGGGAGAGAGTATGAGGTGCAGCGTTTAAAGCGTGGAAGTACTGACCTTACTTTGAGTTTGATTCCATAAAAAGTGACAAAAACATTAGTGTCCGTTGTGCGTGGGAAGAAAACTTCTTTTTAAAGCGAATAAAAACCCCTAAACTTCCAAGCAAGCGCCGAGTAACTATGACGTAATGGGAAACTCACAGAGAAACTCGCGGATTCTTCCACTGACTGCGGCACACCTGCACCAGGGTAACCCTCCGCCTACCCCACTCCTGCTTTACAGGTGAAAATAGAGCAACAGGACCGCTAGTCTTTGACTTTATTTATTTTCTGCTGTGTTTTACTTGCATCTATTTGAAAGGCTGAGTGTAAACACAAAAAATATTTTATTTTATGTGCTGGAATGTGCAGAAAATAGGTTTAAATGTTAAACAAATTTCTTCCAGTCAGAGAATGTTGCAGATAATTACATTTTTGCTTGATGCATAAAGTTAAAAGATTAAAACTAATAAAACAAGTTTAAAAAAGGGACTTTTCCATTTGATTACATTTTGTATGATGGATTATGTAGAAAAAGTAGAATTGGGCTGAAAGATCTATCGCTTTATCACCTATTCAGGTTGTAAATCGTGTTTTTAAAAAGTAACTAAGTAACTAAGTAATTAATTACTTTCGAAAATAAGTAATCAGTAAAGTAACGGGATTACTTTTTTGGGGATGTAATCAGTAATTAGTTACTGATTACTTTTTTCAAGTAACTTGACCAACACTGCTCACAGTACTATATACATAAAAATTAAAAAAAATCAAGCTAAAATACATAATAAGAACTATCTATCACAATGTGAGATGAACTTATGATTAGTTCATACCTTGGCAGTGAAGTGGTAGTTTGAGGCTCCTTTTCAGTTGCATGGGGCGCGTTGTTGGCCACCAGGTCAGGGGTCGCCGAGAAAGATGAGCTGAATGTGGTGAAGGAGCTGTAGCGAGGGAGGATGCTCATCATCAGATGACCCCAAGTGGCAAAGTTCATGTTCATCTGGGCTGCTCTGAGAAAATTCTTCCCTGACAAAGAAAACAAATCAAATCATCATTTCACCGCAGAAACACAAATTCAATCTGAATAAATCTGTTTGGGGGGATTTTGTGTTTGTACCTCTCTCTTTAGTGAAGATGCACCGCTGACGTCTTAGCTTCGGCTGCCGTTCGAGCACAGTGTCAATAAATCGAAGCTGTAAAATACAAAACAAACAGATTTCTTTTAACTTTTGAGAAATTAACTGCATTTCTATCCAACTGGGATGAAAAAGCATGGCTGATATTGCACCTTATTGGCTGTGATAGTTGGCACTAGCTGATTAATGTGTGGATTAATTTGAGACAGAAAAAAGGCAAAGTGTCACAGTGAAATGCTCAAAGCTGTGAGTGTGGTGCCAAAGCTCACCCAATGTTAGATTTCTGTTCCTCAATAAGACTCTACTTTGTTGAATCAGAACATAATGTGGAGCATATTAGATTTCCTACAACCACACTGAAATCTGTCAACACGCAGCTCTTTATGGGACTCTGAAGTGTGTTGGATTAATGTGAGAATGTTAAAATGAAATAATATTGACTTTAAACAGCTCACTGAACACTTTTAAAGCACGTTTGCATCTGATTTTTCCTCCTCTCAGGCCTGCCGAGGGTTCAGGAACAGGATGACTAACAAAAGACTGAGCAGATTAAGTTTGCCACTTACCACTTGAACATCTCAGTGTTGTCCAACTGATGTTGTAAAAAAACAAACCTGGACCCATCACTTACCACGAGTTATAGGTCCATCTAAAAACCTCCTTTTATAAGCCTTCCAGAACAAGAGAAAAGGTTGCTGGGACACGATTAAGCAAAGTTTTGGAGATGCACAGTATTCTTTCAGTCTGGTTTCAGAGAGTTACACTCCACTAAAGAGCTCTCCTTAAAGTCTCCAATGACCTTTTGATGGCTGCAGATAAGACTGACTGTTCCAAGTCTTTGCTTTCATCAGCCTTTGATACCGCTGATCATCAGCTTTTGATCCACAGGTCAAACAGCATGGCAGTGATTTTGGTTTACCTCACTGGTTTACTGATTTTTGGGTTCGGTGGGTGAGTTTTGGTCTGATTTTGCTTCTTTATCATTCAGTTTTCTTGGTTAAGTTCTCTTTTATATTCACTGTATATCCTCATTGGGTCATATTATCAGCAATTTAAAGATAGTTTCTTATCATTTTTATGCCGAGATCATTCGACTGTGCTTCTCTTTGAAACCTCACGAACTGGATACCCAGCTCAATCGACTGTCTTAATGCAATCAGGGTGCAAGGCTAGGTGACAAATAATTGCTCCTGAGAACATCAGTGCTCAAGCAGCCAGTGGGGTCCCTGTCATTCACAGTAAACTCTAACATGTGGAACCGTGGGATCATTTTTGATCAGTCCTTGATGTTTGATGCTCACAAAAAGTCTCTGACCCACTCTTGTTTTTTCCAGTTAGTAAATCTTGCTAAACTTTAGTCTGAAAAGGTGATTTGGAGATGCTTGTTCATGCCTTCATCTCCTCTCACTTGGATTATTGTAATCCACTGTTTTTTCATCTGTTAATCGCCCCTAGTCTTTTTGCATTGACTTCCTGTCAGGTTTAGCGTTTAGTTTAAAATCTTAAAATCTCCTGCCTTTCTGGATGTGACCTGTAGGGACTTGGTTTGATGCTGAGGCTAACTTTAGTGAATGACTTACCAGGCTTAATGTCGGCATTTACTACAACTTTTTCTGGTGTATATCTAGTATAATATGATTAAGCCGATTGCTCTCTTTATGCTGTATGTGTGTATCTATGTTTTGTTGTTCCTTACTACTGCACCGTACACAGGGCAGGTGGATGTATTTACCTTGGTGTAGAGGAGGCCCTGTGGCTCTAAAGTTATCCCCTGGTTGATGATTGGGTTTTCCATCATCTCCTCCAGTCGCAGGAACTTGACTGCACACATCGCCCTCCGGTCCCGCCAGAAGACACCGACCTCCAGCTCCCGGGACTGCCAGCAGAGCGAGGACCAGCAGAGAAAACACAGACTGAAGGTTTGAGTGGGAAGTGTGCACCACCATGACTGAAATGGTAGTAGCAACATGTTGTGATTCATTTCTGTTGCAATTGAGAATCTTTAGAAGAGATTCAATCATGTTTGTGATCGCTGACTCATTGTTATGAGGCTGTTTTTATCAGATTAAAGGAAGCCTGTGAGTATTTGCTGGAGTCTTTAAAGATTCACTGTGGATTGGTGAGAGGAGTAAAGTTACTTATTATATTTCAGTTTAACTGAGTGTTTCTAATTAATAGCCAAAGGTTGTTTGCAGCTGTTAGTGAATAAACTGGTGATGTTTTTGGACTTTTTTAAAAATCAAAATGTCAAACAATATCTTCAGTAAAGTTAATTGTTCTTTGCTAATTTCACGATGTTTTTCTTTTTCTTACAGTACTGCAAATTGGAAACCAAGTTCTTGAAACAAACAAGCATCTGCAGTACCAAGCATGTCTTTAGCTCAGGCTGTGATGAACTAATACCTGCAGGTAGAGGGCGACCCCTGCTGGTCTCAGACTGAACTGCAACAACAATTTAGTCTATGGCGCAAGAATGTTCACTGCTGGATTAATGGGTAGGAGGGTTCGGTTCATCATGAGGCACAACAGCACCCATGATACACTAGAATTTAATGGCTTTCTGCCAGTGAAACATGGAGTAGGGCTCAGCAGATGAGGAAAAAACTCCTTTTACTAGTCACTTTAACTTCATGGAAAAAGTGGCAAAAACAAGGAAAGACGTGAAGGAACATAACAAAGGCTGTAATAAAAAAAAGAAAGGAAGAAAGAAAGAATAAAATAGCTTATAGAGTGAAAAGATGAGTGAAAAAAGTGAAAAAATCCATTATAACCCTAAAGACCGCAATTATAGCTCTTAATCTTTATTTATATCACGATTTTTATACGTTAAAAATGTTGTCACGTTACATTCGAGCAAATCAAAATAATACCTGCACCAAACCACCAAAATCAGAATTGGAAGACATAATTAGCAAAAGCAGTTCAAAAAAAAGAGGCAATATCAGAAATATATAAATTGATTAGGTCCAAAACATCTGACAATTCGTTGGGAAGGTTGAACGCCTGGAAAAATGATTTAAAGAAGGACATATCCATGGAACAATGGGCATTGGTTTGCGCAAAAGCTCATAAACAAACTATTAATTCTAGACTAAGGTTGTTGCAATACAAATGGTTAATGCGAATATATGTTACCCCGGAAAAATTACAACTCTAATATTCCAGACACTTGTAATAAATGTAATGAAGATAAGGGTAACTTTTGGCATTGTATTTGGGATTGCAGGAAGATTGGCTCCTTTGGGTTGCAGTAACACAAACTATGAAACAAATATTATCCAAGGAGCTTGTTTTGGATCCTGGCTTCCTTATTCTGGGATTGTACCCAGAAAACATGAGGTACACAAAAAGTGACAGAATGTTTATTGATATGGGTTTGTTACAAGCAAAAAGATTAATTGCACTAAAATGGAAAAAAACAAGGGAACCGAGTATCACACAGTGGATAAAACAAATGATGGTGGCTTTGCCATTGGAGCAGATAACATGTGTACTGAAAAGGAAATTGGATGTTTTTGAGAAGGTGTGGAGACCATTTGTGAATTTTGTAGAAGGATTTGTATTATCTGAGGAGGACGAGGACTGAGGGCAATGACATTTGATTTGGGATAATGACAAATTTAGGCCTTTAATGGAGTGATAAATCTGACGACTTTTTTGTTGTCTTTTTGCTGTCTGAGAGGAGTGTATGTTCATGTAGTATTTAGAATGTTGGACTGTTTGTAAGTCATTAAAATGTAAAAAATAATAAAGATATTGTTGGAAAAAAAAATGTTGTCACAGCAATGTAATGTTCTGAATTTATCTGTGGTTATTACCTGCAGTTGTAGGTTCAGATTATCATGTGAAATGGAAAACACATTAATGATGGCTCAGTGTATCCTCTGCTATAATAAATGAAGCACCTTTCCTGCATATTTAAGAAGCTACAAGCAGCTTTTATTACGGCTGCAGATACGTCAGGGTCTCTTTACTCACTGCCACACACTATCTAACCCACAAAACTGTATTTATCTACAAGATTTTAATACAAGACCTTCATCAGGCAATCAGCTACTTTATTTTAAAGGTCACATGTGTAGATTGTAGATTTTAACTGTAATTGTTAAGCATTTATTGAATAACTATTATATTAGATATAATTTTCATGGTGCTGGACTTGTTATGATGGGTTTTGGAATTTTATTAATTATTTTCAGACCCCTTTGTTCTCGTTCTTCATGGTTATTTGGTGATATTTTAATCTCTTAAGCTGGGATTCGTGGTTTATATGGTTGAGGCAAAATGAGGCGCTTCCTGAGAGTAAAATCTCAGAGCAGCACAGAAGTGTAAAGAAGCATCCAAGGGTGGAGTGAAAGAATAATTCAATACGGTAACTCGACTCCATCACTGGCTCTGCGTTATTTAAGGTTGCAACCACATCAGATTTTCTCTTTCTTCCTCATGGCAAAAGAATTACACTCAAAATAAGAGGATGTGCAGAGCATCTGTATCCATAACTGCAGAAAAGATCGCACTGACTGAAAGTGCACCATCAAAAACTCACATCAGTCCCACACTGACATGCAAAACCATCAGCCGACGTCTTATAAGCATTCAGATGGTTATGTTTATAGTAAAGCATCCAGCAAACGTATTGTAAGACTTCATTCACACTCACCGAATTTAAACTACAACAATGCATAAAAGCTTAATCTATTTGTTTTAACTGGACTTTTTGACTGATCTGCTCTCTGAGATTTATTTTCACCATTTAGCTGCATCTTTTTTTTTTATTCCCCCTCTCTCATCTCCACTTTTCATTTGACCATCCATTACGCTGGAAGTCGCCTAATGTGCTGTGCAGAGAAGCACTTACCTACTGCAGCTGGTGAAAAACAGAGAGGGGTGGGCTGGGCGAGGGCACACAGTGTAAGGTGAATCTGACGAGATCCTTCTACTCCTGACTTTGTCTATTTTGTCCCAGTTCTTCTGAACTAAACTCAAAATAGTCAAGAAGTGTGCTTCAATTAATTGTGTTCTTTCCAAAGGAACTTGTTAAGACCTTGGGGCTGTGTTTTGGTTTTATGTTGTTTCTCCCAGTTCATATGTCCCTGAGAGGAGCCTCTTTGTACTGTCTTTGTCCTTGGCTTTGTGTTGTTTTGGGGTTTTGAATTCTTAATTAACATATTTGAGTTTCTGTTTTGCGGTTTATAGACTGGACTTTAGATTTCTGTGTTTGTTGTTTATTATCTTTATTCAGTCTTTGGTTCCAGTTTTATACTTTAAGGTTTTCATGGTAATGACTTTCTGTTTTGTGTGTTTTGGCTCCTCTTTAACTTTCATGTTCTTTTATTGTTATTAGTTTCTTCGTAGTCTTCTTGTTTCCACCCTCTTCTCTTTAGTCCAGCTTTCTTTATCATTGTCCTTCTGTTCCCCCCGAATTAGTCCATTCATGTTTAGTCTTTCTTTGTTTCAGAAATGGTTGGTTGTTCCTTTCCTGTTTCATTTTGATAGATGTCTGTCTGTCTCATTGTCCTCACCTGTGTCTGATCCTAATCAGCACTCTGTGTATCTGTGTATCTTCCCTCCATCAAGACATCTTTTGATGTGCCTGCCCTATGCTGGCCTCTTTGCTTTTGTGGATTTTGTTCTCATTTGGACTTCATTTCAGTGGCCATCAAAGCCTGCTATTTGTTGGGGCTTTCTGACTTCGGCCTCCTACATGTGGGTCCTTATTCCTGCTCATTGTGATACATGTGTGTAGTCTGATTACTCTCTGACCTGCACAGCGCCCTTGTACAGTCTATATGGTTCGGTGCTTGCTATATTGTTCTTGTCAGCACATGAAGTGTTACTACAGCATGTACTAAGCTGCTGATGCTGTTTTTATCTGCATCAATGTCACACAGACAAAGGTCATAACAAGAAGAACAGATTGTAATGGATCTTGTTTCCTTGAACCGGTGAGTGTGCTGCACAGCAACCGAACAGGATTCAAACAGCGCCTCATTTCTGTAATTAGAAACAGGATGATTGGAAGGGAAGTAAATGGGCAGGAAGGCCAGTTTGAACGTGGGCGGTGTGGATTAGAGCGAACGTGAAAAATGACTCACAAATGCTGAAAGCTGGCTCGCCGTCGCAGCGGTTTAAATCATGGGGAAAACGAGAGGAAAATATGTGCTACTCTGTTTTTCTGCAGTTTAACTTCCCACTTTAACTGATAGGATCAAAAAGTTTAGTAAAAGCTGCCAAACATGAGCGTACCCTGACATGATGTTCCAGAAACTCGGAGCTAATTAATGCTGCGACTGGTAGCCTTGAGGTTTTTGGTTGCAGAAATGCTGATCAGAGTTAGTTCAATCAACTCTGAGTATCGTCACCCTGAGTTAAGGCCATGAGTAATGAAAGAAAGCCCTCATTAGTGGAGCTTGGGTAACTTAATTCACCACGGCAACAAGTATTTAAAGGCTAGGGCCTTTTATTTTTTCTGCGTCGTCCAGTCATTATTTACCCAAATTTTCATTAACAGATGAAGCCGAGGGGTGTACTACGAAGTGAGACTGGTGGGTTAGTGAGCAAAAAACCCACCAAAAAAAAAAGAGTTTAAAGTCATATATTGTTATGCTTCTTTCAGTTTAAAATTGGAAGCGTCTCCTCTTAACTCATTCTTCTTTACAGCATGTTTGAGTGATGATTGATCTCAGAGCGATCCCTTTTTGCAGAAGACGAGTCATGTGAAACATGAAATGCCCCCTTTTAGCCTGAAGCAGAATCCTGGTTTGACACAGACCGTTCATAACCCCTGTTCAACTGGGGCTAACACAAAGAAAGCCTGGTTTTACAGACTTCACTTCTTAATATATACCACTGGAATTTGAGCATATTTTACATTTCATTTGTAAATCAAATTATTCAGCTGTAGCCTGACAGTAAAGATGTGTAGATCACACAGATTACATGGTAACTGAGTCAGAGTTTACGTTAATTCTCTTTCTGGAACAGAAAACCTAGAGTTTCCCTGATCTCAGGATTAATAAACTCTTTTCACTAAACCTGCTTCTGGAACAAAGCCCAGGTTTCTGACGGTCCCCTGGTGCTTCTTAAACTCCGGTTGCTTTAATTCATGCCAACCTGTTGTTTCAGTTTCCTCGGTTAAATCTGATTCTGATTTAATTTTTTTGTTTTACTGGTGCAGGCTTCTTTTAAACCATCCTCACTGCTTTCGTCTCCACAGCTTGAGGTAAATATGTTTCCTTGTGTGACGTGGCAGACTGCAGATGGTGAGAAACATGACTAGTGAACATGTTTCATGAATCTGATGGTAATTTTGAATGTGCACTTTGTGTTTAGTGTATTAACATTTCACTGAATGAGAGCCATTATGACAAAAGAGATGAGCAACAGTCTGATAAATTGACATAATTTACGCTAGGAAATAAAAATGGACTATTACTTTGTAGTTTTCCGACTCCTCAGTTAACATGGTTAACTAAGCATCTGATGGTGTGTAGGGACTCACCCGCTCTAGCTGGATGTAGAACGTCTGGTCCCAGCTCAGCCTGCTGATGGAAGCCCAGCGCGTCCGGCCGACCACTCTGCCGTCCAGCCTGAGCACACCACTGATCTCTGCGGTGAGACAAACGTTTACGTTTTACTGGCTGTGTCCTGAACAGGCTTGATTTTTACAGCATTGAAGATTTACACGAATGTTCATTTTATTTACTAGGTGCTTTTAATTTGTAAATCCAACATAATTCTAATAATTCTGACAACTTTGTCTAACTAATCAGGGGCTTTTATACTGAAAATATGACACTAAATCATCCTGATAAATTTTGTATTACTAACTGAAGTCTTAAATTTTGAAAATCCAACATTCAACGCTGGGAGCTTTCTATAAAAGGTTTTTATTTTCAGAAACTGGGGTTAGTCTGCTGGACCCACCAAAGCAGTAGAATATGGATGAATGAGTAATAAACAATAAATTAATGGACACCCCTGCGCGCAACTTTTTCTAGATATTATTTTTTGTACCTTTACATTGAAGGTTCAAGGCTGGTTTTGAGCAGGTGCAATGCATAAAGGTGCTTTGTACCTTAATGAATAAGAAACACCTGTCAATGGTCCAGCAGCACTACCTTAGAGGGTACCTCCCCAGTAATTATCCACCGTACTCTTAATGGTACAAAAGTACTTTTCTGAGAGTATCATGTGAATCTGACTGGAGCCAAACGGTTCGCCTTCCAAAAGATCAAGCTTATGAAATCATGCTGGTTTATTTATCTTCTATTTTAGGAAAATTACAACTAAATGTCAGGGCATTTAACAAAGGACCTTTCAACATCCTTGACAGAGGATATGATGTCATTTAAAGTAATAAGCTCAGTTATTGTAATAGATTACCTTTAAAAGCACTCCATACTTCACAAAAAAGTAGGTTAACCCATTGAGCACGGCACCAGATTTCAGTGTTCGGCTGTGACACTGTGGCACTCTCATACTGATGTAAATGTCTTTTTAAAACAGAGAGTCACACTATTCATGGAGCTAAATGTAATCTCACGTGAGCTGGAATTAATAAAGCTGTTTAATAATCTTTCTTTTATTGTGCAGAGTATGCTCTAAAGTGTTTGCATTTACTGAATCCATTTAGAAAACACTGTAAAAGTGACCAGATTGTCAAACCTTCTGCTTGCAAGAGACAGCCAATCAGAAGAAAGTTGGCTTGTTGGAGAAGTTAGGATGTTGTTTGAGCTTGTTTGAGTCAGAAGATGACCTGAAGTGCTGCACAAAGGCTCGGTGTAAGTTAAATAAAAATTATTTTGAATTGTTAATGATGCAAAGCTATCCTAGTAGAGTGCAAAAGCAAACTTGTGGCACTATAAATGAACATAAAAACGTCAATTTAATTATTTC